ATTATTAACGGACCGTCATCAATACAGTCCAATTAACTTTATTGTCAACGTCGACTCCAGTGGACGAGGCATCGGTCGGGGCACGCTCAAATGATCGATTGCGTCGAGTTATGTCCACCTAGTTACCCCTTCAATTGGGTCCTTGATTGGTTTGACGTACCCGCCATTATTATGTGGACGGTGCGCCGATAAATTGGCACTGATTGTTTACTAACGCCAATGTTTATGCTGCGCCGCGTTTGAATTGATAGCTTTAATATCCCACCGTATAATTGCTTCAGCGAACAAATATTAGGCGCCCGTTCATAGACGACTATCATTGTACACTGTAGTGACCTTTTGTCTGTGTGTGTTCGATATGCCTATATACATTTAAAAGACTACAAACATGCACAGCTCATGTCTTTTTACACTACAAGGTAATAGATTAATGAGGGATTACCACTTACCTTATTAAGCTTCAACTTAACTGTTAGAAAGCTTGCCGCCATCCAACGGCAATAAACATACAAAGGCCTCCTCTATATATAGGAGCGCTTGCTTTTAATTCTATATACTAGAACAACCTAATGAAATTGTTAATTTCAAGTCCTGAATTATCACGTGATCATCGGCGAAGGAAAATATCGTGAGAAAACCTGCATATTTTCGAACAAACATGAGGATAAACCCATTGATGGAGATTCTGTTGGGACATGAAGCTGCGACACCAGAATTTACATCGACGCGACGTCAGGAACTAAGGCACCACTGGAAATTAATCGTATTTGCGCAATAATATAATTTGCAGCGCCATTCCATATTGCGATGTATTGTAGCTGCAATTAAACCTTTTAGGGCAACAAAGACTCGTAAAGTTTCATAGAACTCTGTCAATTGTTTCGCTCCGCATGTAAGATACAATGTTGTAGACTTTTCCAGCACTGTTAGAATGCGTGCGCGCATCTTAATAATGACAGTTCAACGTCTTAACGACTCTACGTACGCGTCTACTGGAATTAATTGATGCAATTACCCAGTAGAAAACAATCGGGCGAGATTAATGCCATAAGTGGAATATTATGACGTGATCAGCGACTGTGTTGGAGTCAGTATTAATGAGTGCATTGTTATATTTGTTTGTTTCAAAGGCAATTTCATGGTAGGCGTAAACTACTCACGTTTATGTTATCGCGTCTTGTGGGCGCCTTTTTATTAATTAAAGTGACTATAATATATATAATAAATGTTGTTGATTCTTCTACAACAAATGGTTACAGTTAGACGATACAGTTGAAAATCGAAAATTACCTTTTTGGATTTTTAATTAACATGAATAAAATCCAAAACTTGGTAACGGGCCCTCAAGAATTTTAAATAACCTCTTAATCTTAGCGATAACTAGCTGTATACATTTTATTACCATATTTCCTGTAAGAACAAATTTAAATAAATAAAACATTTGGAAGGAATTTGGAATGTTAATAAATGCTAAGTTATGTGTGAAGTAGGGAAAATAATTAGTTTTCAAATTTTGAAATTTAGCACTTAAAATATACATTAGCCCCCTCACTCCAGCATCCGCTTCGCAGTAGATGACAAAATAAGTTCGATTTTTCGGTTTTTCTAATTTACATACAAATAATTATTAGTAGGTATTTAAGCTCTGCCAAAATCAAAACCCACCTATTTCTTAAATGGTTTCTATATATTATATATATTTTTTATGCCAAAAAGTGGCAAACGAGCTGGCGGTTCACCTGATGTTAAGTAATAACCGCCGCTCATTTGCAACACCCGTAGGGTTGTAAATGCTGACAACGCCTTTAAATAAAATGGGCCCCGGCTACCTTACTCACCAGACGAAACGCAGAAGTGTGCACTTCTACTTTACGCCGGTCTTTTGTGAGATCGTCGTAATTACCCGGATGGACATGCTCATTCGTGCAACAGTGAAAACTGTTGCGTGGCCCTACCACAGTAAAGTAGTCTTTTTAAATGTTCAATTTAGAGATCTCCTAAAACCTTTCGATGGCAAACAAAGTTCAAAGTTAACAAAACATTCTTTTATACTGGTTTGACCTCTGTGATCTGGTGGCCCTTTAAAGGGACCAATGTTAATTAACACAGGGACAGCTTCTTATCTTTATACATATCCTAAGTTGGATTCAATAGAGAAGCAACCAATAGGAGTCTACGTACTATAGTTACCTTCGCACCGAAGAGAGCAATCGTTCTCTTCCTAGGGAGTTCAACAGGTCCCTTTTTACGAAAGAGAAGAGACCTATTTTTCTTCTTAGTAAATAGAGACCTATTTGTCTGACTTTCTTTTTTTTATGTGAAAAGTTGCCAAGCGAGCAGACGGTTCACCTGATGTTAAGTGAATACCGCCGCCCATGGACATCTGCTACACCCAAGGGTACCAGATACGTTGACAACCTTTTTAAAATTGGGCTCCGGCCACCTCACTCACCAGACGAAACGCGAAAGTATTATACTTTCACCTTAAGCCCGTCTTCTGTGAGGTCGTGGTACTTACCCAGACGAGCCTGCCCATTCGTGCAACAGCCGAGGCTGCTGCGTGGCCCTACCACCGTAAGAGACTAAGACTAAAGAGAACAATTTTATTTCCTTTATTTATTTGATTCACCAGCAATTTTTTTCATTAGAAGTAGTATACAGTATATTTCTAAACCTAAATGCACAATTTATTAAAGGTAAACACCACATGCGAAGTATATAGCATAGTTGTGTTCGTGACTAAAGTGACCAATAATTCTTTTGCGATTTCTTCTCTGGACTGATTGGTGTTTACCATGTTACACATTTACAGTTTACAGTTTTATATGTCACAGTCTCTAATGGGTTATAACTGTGTCATGTAATGTAAAAAATAAACGTATTGGTGACACGTTTTTATTATAATAGAGTTACCTGAAGAAAGCTAGTCAAGAACCAATCCTTAAAGTATCGATAATCCTTAGTCATCGATCGATGCAGGCACATACTAACAAGCCTAAGATACATTTCAGGGACCGCGTACAGACTATCGGACAATGAGATGCTAACCAGGACTCTTTTGTTTTTTTCATTTGCCTGGTTAAGATAGATTACGACAGGATTCGAGCGGTTCGATTTACAAATGTTGTATACTCTTATAAGTGAACATATTTTTAAATTTTACAATCGAATTTTTATATACTACTATAATAATTTATAATGTCTACTAATAACTTTGTATGGACATTATAAGTAATGTTCAGAAACGTAATTTATTAATTTCGTTTTCCTGAGGATATTGATTACCCAATTAAATTAATTAAGTAATATTTTTTTATGGACCATTCATATTAATAGACTGCTTAAACTTTCTAACGATGTGCAAAAAGAATTATAACGGAAGTAAGGAAAGAAGATGTCAGTTTCGTTTTTTTATTTTTATTTCGTCTAAATTTCACTTTTAATTACTCAATCCTTGAATACTAAATTGGATTAACTGCTAGATAGCCGTATGTAAAAGATTACTACCCAACTTATTAATTAATAACTTTGAATACTGTTAAGCGAACAAGTCACTCTGAAGTTGGTAACACAGAATACATTGCCTAGAAGTTTATTGGCTTTAGATAATTTATTGTAGTGCCTATTTAGAATATTAGGTATGGACATTCTTTCGCACACCGGACGTGCAACCACTTTTAATTGAGATAATTTTAATACGGGATCATTAAGTACAATTACATTGACTTAAAGACTGCCAAGTATTTATCACTTAAATACTAATTAGAAACTCTAAGGCTCGACTTTTACAGCTAATCTGAAGCATTTCCGTATGTCGTTTAAAATGAAACATTCTGTATAAATAAGAAGTTAAAATCGTTTAACTCTTAATCACTTCGTCAGCTATTTTATGTTAATGTAAATAAACGTGTCTATTCCATATTTGGTTTCTCGTGTTTAAGTTAAGTGCGAATTTCCGTTTACTAATAAGACATTAGTATGCCGTAATAAATGCATCTACAAAATGTATTTCATTACTTTTGAATAAAAGTCGACTTATGTAATTATACAATAATTTAATCTACCTTTAAGTTTAAAGAAAGAAAGAAATATTTAGAAATATTTATTTGGTACATAACAAACAAAACATAAAATAAAAACAAAATAAAAATATCAATTAAAATTTAGAAATCACAACTTGAAGGTCACCACTCAGCATTACATCGCAAAAAAAGAGAAAACATGTTCGCGATTGCTGATTTTCAGTGGAGCCTGGAGAGATTGATAGATGACGACTTTAAAACAAACGTTGACATACATTTTATATTGAGTATTGATAGCGTTAATCTTTGCATTTGCTGCCGCTGGAATCGAACCCGTGTCTTCCGGAATCGCGCCCAGTCGCTTTGTCCACTAAGATAAACAACTGTGTGTAGCCGTTTAATTTATTCAGTCGAGTTCAACACTTTTCGTCCATTTTTTTACAATGTTACTTAGTTCAGTGTTATCATAGTTTATTTTTATATATATAACTCTTCTGTACGTATGTATGTCATTGACCTCCTTCTAAACGGCTGGACAGATTTTAATGAAATTTTTTGTGTGTGTTTAGGTCGATTCGAGAATGGTTTAGATTCACATTTTTTAAAATATTTTTAACTGTTTAAGTTGTGTGTACAGGACAATGTCCGACCGGTTCGGTAGTTTTTTATACGTGATTAAGCCTTATTCTTTCAAAGAATCGTAACCTGTTACGCCACCCAACTTAAACATGGTAGACAGACAATAACAATGCATTGATTAAAAAGCAAAATAGTGGGATACAAATTAAATTATAATTTTCTGCTGGCGTGTCTTTAAGATTCTTTGAGGCAGAAGAGAACAGTCAAGACTTATCAATAATAGCGATTCCTGTCAAGGATTTTACAGAACTATACCAAAAAAAAATTAAAATTAGCGATCATACGTTCGTGAATAGAACTTACCCTTAAACGGTATTGATACGAACGTTGTATCCACAGGTCAGCAAGAGGAAAACAAATATGCCCTCAGCAGCACCGTGGCGGGGAGCACAGGCGGCGCGAGGCTGTGCGCCCAGTGCGGGAAGGTCATCACCGAGAGGTTCCTCCTTAAGGCAATGGAACGGTTCTGGCACGAAGACTGCCTGAAGTGCGGCTGCTGCGACTGTCGCCTTGGCGAGGTCGGCTCCAAGCTTTACTACAAGGCCGACCTCATGCTCTGCAAGAGGGATTACCTTAGGTATGGTTTCAGATGTTTCGCTCTCGATTTCATTTCAACCAAGTTGCATGCACGTATCAACATTTCTGAAAGATTTACGGCTTAGGCTAATCGCTGAAGGGAGCTATTTCTTTTCTCGCTCAAAAGTTAAGATTCAGCGCGGAATTTCGGCTAGAGTTCTGGGCAGCATGCCGCGTGGACAGTTTTATAAGATAACATGTAAATTAGTTAGTATTTAACGTTGTTAATATTTTTCGTTACATAAACATCTTCTAAATACGTATTACAGTTAATAATAATTTGGTTACTCAATGCGGTAAATAATTTGAAGTTCGTTTGTGCACATGTTCTTGAGTATCAAAGAATATTTTAAAAGCGAATTCTTGTTTTCCGAACAGTTCGACGGATATTAATTTTAATATACATTAATAAAGATTTGCACTTAACTTAAAATTTTATATTAACAGGTTATTCGGTGCCACGGGCAATTGTGTAGCGTGCAACAAAGTCATTCCGGCGTTCGAAATGGTTATGCGGGCAAAGAGTTTCGTATACCACTTAGAATGCTTCGCCTGTCAACAGTGCAATCACAGGTGACCTTCACTTGAAATGTTTAAAAAATATACTATTAGTATCATCAATAGGGCATCACGTAACAACAAAAACACATGAAAAATATTTACATTAGAAAATGTATATTTGATTATGTGTCAATCTGTTATTACAAAGAATACAAAAAAACTCCCTATCTTACAAAAAAAAAACTAGAACGCATTAGAACGCGATGAAAAACAACTATTTATAAAATACAAATTCCCAGTTTGAGAACGTCGTCGTTTTTAGAAGACGTCTAAAATGGTTTATGTTGCAAAATTTTAAAAAGAATATCTAACGACTCCTACCGTATCAATGACCATAAACTTATGCAGGTTCTGCGTGGGCGACAGATTTTATCTGTGCGACAACAAGATACTTTGCGAGTACGACTACGAAGAGAGGCTGGTGTTCGCAAGTATGGCCGCCAACCCCACCGGCCTAGCACATATACGAAGACAAGTTAGTGGATTACAGGTATTTTTCCCCTTACTTTTTCACTTTTTTAACTTTAAATTTTCTTTAAGATTGAAAAAAAAAGAGTTAAAGAAGTAAAAAGTAGATAATACTAACGATTTAACCGTTCAAAAGTTAGACCAAATAAGGAAAACATCATACTCAATCTCTAAAGCACTCAAACACGTCATACGATAGTGAGAGTTTATTTTATAGAGTTTATTTTTCTTTATACGTATCTATTAGGATCAGATGACTTGACTTTAGCCAATAAGCGATAAAAAATACGTATATTTTCAAACAATACAAAGCTGCACACGGTCACCACATTACAAACTCATGTAGTTCTGCATCACATACATATTTTATTCCATTTTGAAAATGGAATTTATTCAACATAACCTAATATACCTGAAATCGTTTGACATAACACTAGAGGCATGTCTAATCAGCCAGTACGCACAGTGGCTGTGCAAATTATCTTCTAAACTATGTAATTATGACCGTGCTAGTGTTTAGAGGCGTGCGTAAAGATTTTAATTAATACGCAGTTCACGGAGATCGATCATATTTGAAAATAGAACATGCAGTCGACCTTACGACGTTAATGTTTATGAGTAGGTAACTTGTTATGTGTTCACACAGCTTCAGTACCCGCGGTGCCAAAGTTATTTCTAACGATTACTTTTTTTTCCTTTACTTGCGCATGCCAGTGCTGTTTGTGGGACCGGGAACACGTTCTACGAGTGCGTTCATACTGAATTATTATAATAGCCGTTGAAGCCAGTACTTGAGGGAAACGATACGACCCGTGTTATTATACTAACATTATCGATTTAACACAGATTCGGGTGTTAAAACCAAGTACGGTGCTTTAAAAAGCTGCCTTTGGATTTTTATGGATTTTGAGTTCGATATAAATCCGTAACCATTTATTGAATCTGTTAGTTAAATGTAGGAATAGCCTTTTACATGTTTTTGGTATAAATAAAATATTTGTCTAATTTGATCGGTTCAAAGGTCTTCGTCGACTGAAGTAATAATACAAAAGCTAACGATTTTCATATCCGCATTCTTTCTTTTTACACGTCTTTTATTCAATTAAGATATTTTTGATTGAGAATTAGGTGGATTTTTTATGTCGAAAGAAATACATACGTATACCAACATAGGAAAAGTTATTTGTCATATCCGACAAAAATTGTGGTTATAATTAAAATATAAAATAACGTCTTACAAAATTCATATAAAGAAAGAAAAACAAAACAAAATTTTTAGTTTTATGCTACCACTACGACATATAATTTTGTACATATAATTTCTTAATTTAACTTTTGTTTGATCTCTCGTGAAATATTCCTATTTTTGAGGTTACCGCAAATACGTTGGCGTTATGTAATAATAATATATACAATATAGTAATTTTTATTGATGTTTTTTGTGGCGCTACGTCATTTATTGCTTATGTTCCTATATTGAGGAAAATAATTACGTTCTTCAAAATAGTTTTCATTCATTTACTTAAAAAACTTTTAAAATGAAGAATAAATTAATGTATACGCTAGGAAAAGTTTTATTGCAATCTGTTGGCAATTTGTTTCGATGAAACCTAGTGAAGTGGGGAATATAGTAATTGAAGTGGGGTAATCTTATAGACTTTTCATGACTTTTTAAGGTCACTACTAACAATAATTAAAAATTACTTTAATCGATAAATACTAATTGTATTATATTAAAATTTGGCGACAGTGGTGTCAATTAATATTTTATTTTATTGTCTACGCAACACAACGAACCTTCTTCGCGTTTGGGCCTTATTTAAAGTATTAAGTGCCTCCGTATCTCCCGAATAAAGGGCACGTGAAAAGTCGACTCGGCGAAGTAAATAACTCCCACAAGGACACTGTTAGTGGGAGATTCTATCTCCACTTTATTATGTTTCTTTTGTGATCATTAATCTTTCTCGTACGAACGCTTGTCGGAATGCGAATGTGGGGGAATCTATTTCATTTTATGAGTCGCGCGAGTGGAGGGAGCCCATTCAGCCGGACGACATTTCTAATCGACTTTTTGATTGCGCTCACGGTGTACTGCTGGGAGCCCGACAGGAGAATTGCCAACATCGAAAATCGAATTACCTACATTTGCGGGGCTTCTGTGTGTTACATTATGCCGTTCCGAACGCCGGCGTATTGTCTGGCGTTAAAACGTTAAACGCGTCACAGAATTATTACGGTGAAATGTAAACGCAAAGGCTAGATACGTTTATTATTTTCACTTTGACTGGTTTGGTATGTAAGAAAAATAACTCACGAATACAATACAATACGGGTAAACGAAAGTAATTGTTTCTTGATTTAGGGCCTGCCTGTGATCACAAGTTGAAGGATGAGGCATGTAATAATTACTAATAGGTTTAGTGATGCCATTGACGTTATATTTATAGGGGTATATTTGTATAAACACATGACCTTTGTCGGTGAATTAAATTCTTTTTACAAATAAATATTTAGGATGCATTTTTACACAAAGTTCACTAGTCTCAAACTAAGCAACGCCTGTACTATTGGTGCTAGTTAACGTATAAACATACTTACTATTATTTTTTTTTGTAAATAAATACAGATTATAAATACATAAACACCCAGACACTGAAAAAACATTTCATTATACAATATTTTTCCAGTAGTGGGGAGCGAACTCACACCCCTTGTGGCAAGAGACAGGTTCACAACCCACTCCGCCATTCGGGTCGTCAAATAAGTAAACTAATCGGACATCAATCCCACATCAATGTTTTGCTTTACCGATCAACAAATAGTAGACGCATCAACTTACTCTGATAACTGCGTGATTCATAATAAAATTATGAAATAGTAAAGAAACCACGCTAAAGAAATCGTCTAATCGCTCACCTCTAGAATAAAAAAAATATGTATTCTTTTTTCAAATTCTGACGGCATTATTGGGGCGGGGCATTCATGGTGGTTATCCGGATAAAGCGTGCATCAATTCGTGCAGTTATAGAACATAGAAAAATAAATCTGGATGTTCTTTTTTTAAATATGCTTTATGCGTACTAACAGCATGTCAATGGGCGGCGATTTCCCGAAGGCGCGTGCATCAGGTCATTCGGCAATAGAACACAAAAAAACAAATCTGGATGTTCATTTTTTAAATATGCTCTATGGGTACTGACGGCATTATTCGGGCAGTCGCCGGGCGGCGGTTACCCGGGGGGTGCGTGCGTCGCTGCCGGCGGGGCGCTGGTGGAGAAGGAGGGCGCGGGGTGCGCGGGCGCCGACGACGCCTCCAGCGGCTACGGCAGCCCCCCCGATCCGGACGTGTGCGACGCCGCGCGATGACCGATGCTGTCCCGCCGATTACTCGCCTCGGTGAGATACCAATTTGTAATCAATTACTTCGCGCTTGACGAATGCGTATAAATAATTGAATATGTAAGAAGATGGCAAGCGAGCCGGTGGTTCACGTAATGTTAAGTGATAACCACCGCTCATGAACATTTTCAACACCCGTGGGTCTTCAGATTCGTTGCCACTTTTTTATGAAGTGGATTCACCCTCCAACACAAAAAGGGTTACTGGGTGCTCGCTCATTTTGTTGTGGCGGTGGTGATTGAAATGCAAAAGTACGAACACGTTGCAAAATATGGTGAATTTAAAATTGGATAAAAACGCTACAAAGTCCACAAAATAGTTTGATTGAGCAAACGTTAAACTTAGTTTCATTTTCAGGTAAAACCTCACTGATTCGTAGCTGACTTGAGGCCGCGTCGGATCAGTCTCTAGAGCGAGACACGTTCAACATCTCGAGTATTTTTAATATCTGTGACGTTTTATTGGTTTAATTTGAAAAAAAAAAAACTAAAGGAATAAGATCCATTTATGGTGTTACGCTTTATTTTTGTATCATAACATTACGTGAGGATGCTTTGGAGGCACGTTGAAACGTTATAAAGTGCAATTTGATTAGAGACGTTTATAAACGCAAGGTGGCCGCTTGTAAGTGGTTGAGTGCAAATTAACTACATCGGGGGGTCTCCGCGGACGTATTTTAAAAGCATCGCCTGTGTACATTAGGCTAGAAGGCGGGCCGAGTATGTGGCCACTTTACAAAATGTTCGGGATGAGTCGCGATAACGCTGTCAGAACACGATATTTCCATTATGTATACGATTTGAGAGTACACGTTAAGATTGCGGCGACGCGTGGGCAGAGCGCGATCTCGCACAACCTCTTTACGTAGGCACTCCTTGTATTTACAATAGATTACATAATGTACCTTATATCAACCCTATTATCAGATGTATCACACAATTCCCACATAGATATAGTTAGTACCTTCAACATTTATGCAACGATTCAGGTCCACATTAAAATAGTTAAATGATTAAATCGATCTCATTGTTATGAAATTGTATGTACATTTAGCGAACGTAATATTGTTATCATACAAGGTATGAACTTTTATTGTGAGTGATTAGTTTTTTTTATTATGAATCTTTAGTTTTTCTTTATTTTAATTGGTTACGTAGATATATGTTACGCTGTTATTTTTTTTTACCAAAGATAACTTCCCGTTAAATGGATTAACTATATTCTAAACAGATAAATTACAAATGTAGAATAAATAGTGTTAATTTTGGTACGTCAGTTAAAGTACCACTGTATAAATTTTTATGCTGTCAAAGGCATTCTGTAAAAATTGTGTTCTTCTGCTTTGGTGAATGTTGTTCGCGCCTCTACAGGTTTTGTGATCGACCGCATTTTTCATCCACTAACTTGTTTGAAGTAATGAAATGTCGAAAATATTCTAGAATCTTGTGCTTAAATTTCCTAAGGTTAATAAACTTAATGTTACATAAAGATTTCTACGATAAAATGTATTTATGTAAAAAAAGGTTTCTGAACTGTTGTTATAGAAACATTGGCTAGTATATCATCTAACACTTTATATTATAGAGACAACAATAAAATTGAAACTATCGTATACATCGACGGAGTAATTTTTCAGTTTTATGTTACTATGTAAATAAATATATTTATTTAATGAGTAAAACGCGTGTTTTATTATAAAAAAAGTTCAAGCAAAAAATTTACTTGTCAATAATTCCAGTTAAGGTGATTGAATTTGGGACACTAATAGGTTATCCCAAATGCTGATACATAGCCATTCTTATTCATATTATAACAGAAATTTATCAATAAACATAAAAGCAAAACAATGTATGTGTTTCAAATTCATGGAAAAAATGTTTGGCGCTTGCAGAAATCAGCTATAATATGAAAGAAGCTAACACAACTTCAATTGTCACCATTATTATAATAATGTTGTACACCAAAAATCAACAAAATCATTAAATAACAATATCTATATAAATCATTTGCTGCTGGCTGTTACTGTATAAACCAACGTTCAATTTAAAATACGTAAACAATCTCCACTCAGATAAGTAAAGAGAAGGTACTTAGTTATTATTTAGTTCCATTAACGAAACACTTCGCATTTAGTGGTCGATCAAATACATCAATCCATTTGTGTAAGCACTTAAACTCGCGCGTTTAAGAGTTTAAAAGATATTTTGGGGTTTTCGAACGATCTCGGGGATGTTTACATCGTGCTAATTGGTAAGTCGAGCCCCTGCTCGGTCTCCGATAATCTTTTTGAATCACTTAAAAACACATCATGTTTTCAAACAAAAATCTATCTGCCACTTACGCTTGGAAATGGTGGACATGTCCGGTAAAAAGACAAGACGATAAGTATGATTTGACAGCTACATTAGCATCAGTTATGACGTTAGATAATATCGATTAGTAATTAGTAAGTGCTATATGAGTTAAGGAAGGAATAAAAAATTAAACAATCAGACTGAAATATCCTGCACTGAATACATGGCCCCTGTATAAAAATAATATATTGAAGTTATCAACACGACTTACGGCCAGTTTCAATGTTCTATCCATATGTAATTTTGGTTACTAGCGATATGTATTTGACATTAGCCTTGAATACTAACGTCAAAATTCTATCTCTAGTAACCAAATCTCTCTGTAGACAGAATATTGAAACCAGCCCTAAGACAATAAAAATGAGACCCTTGTTTCTACCTAAGCGTATAAGGTACAACGTATCGAAGTTTGAACTGTTGATTATTTCTTGACTATCTTCTAACACTACTAAAATTTATAGCAAGCGTCAAACCATTATCCAGCTCGGAAGTTGCCTCATAATTGTATTTTCCAATGAAAAAACACAATAAAGTTTAATTGTCATATTAAAATTTTCTCGAGTACCAAAAAATAAAATAAAGGATTATTTTCAAGAATTTAGTAACAAAGCAACAAAAGTGACGTACATACATATCATTCGATATACACGTATGAGTTTCCGTAAGTTATACAGGGTGGCTTTACTGAAGGTGCCCAAATTCACACAGGAGGTTTGAACTCGGTAGTATTATCGTTTATTGAAATAAAAACAAACTTTTTTTCAAAAAAATTGCCATTCCATTCCTTATAAAACAGAACGTGTTGACAATGCAGTAGTCATTCATTAATGCGTCTTTTATTTGAAACGAACTTGTGTGCGTGTTAGTTATGAATGATCGCGCGTAAAATAAATGAGTTGCCCAGAAATCGCGCACTTTTTGAGATAAGTTCAAATATTATATATATATATATATATATATATATATATAATATAATAATGGAATACATTAGTATTTAATTATTACAAGTGATTATAAATATTTATCATTTATAAAACATTATTTATGTCTAGAAATAATAGAATTTAATAAAAAAATATAGAATTTAATAAAAACAAGCCTCCCTGTGCACTTGCGGATCGGACAATCGTTGTTCTGTACATACGACTTAAATTCGACAACAATTTATTATTAAAAAACAAAAATTGTAGTCGACCGAATTTTGAATGTAAATCAATCTCGAATCGACACAAACATCGAACACACAAAAATTTCATTAAAATCGGTCCAGCCGTTTAGGATGATTTCATATATACATACAGAAGAATTATATATAAAAGATATAAATTTTTGGAGAACACGTGGGCACGAGACACGAGGATCTTTTGTTGTGATCTATGATTCTTTAACGGGTATGTCCATAGCATGTTCAGCGGGCAACGACAAACGCATTAACGAGCATCGTTTAGTTGTTTGCAGTTTAAATAAGAGCAGTAATGTAATTTTAATGAGCTCACAAAAATGTGTGCGCAAGACTGAGTAAGAACTAACACAAGCGAAAGAGGTAAGTAGGCACTTAATGATCCCACGCGCCCACGTGTTTTGTTTCTCTCTTTTATTTTTATTTTTAACGAGAATGTTCCTCGAACAAACAAAAACATTATATCTGTCGACGCTTCTTTCGCCGTCTTCAAACTACTCATGTTTTATTTGTCAACGTTGTGAGAATTACACCAACATCGCCTGTAATGTGCTCAAAGTCGTTTAAAAGTGAAGCCAAGACATACAAGGTTGAGGTAGAAACATTAATGTTTTGGTTTAGAATTACTCGATAAGATGTATCCTTTTTCCATTTTACAAGGATAACTTTATCAGTTACTGTATTAAACAGTTTCTATTAAGTTATTTAATACCATAATAATTTGCAATATGTGATTAGAAACACTCAAGGACATTCTTTATAACAGTAGTTTGCTTGTAACGCCTTTAAATTTATGGTGAAATAATTGTCACCGGCGCGCAATATATGGCACATAAAAAGAACAATGTCACATAATATGCAAATTTTAATATTAATATTTTAATAGGAAATAAGATTGATGGATTCATCATCGCCAGCCTGCAGTCCATCATTGGACAAATACCTTTATTTGTACCTAAATAACTCATTCTCAGAAACTAGTCTGCTTGCTGATTATATTTTTTTATGGAGAAAAGGGGCAAACGAGCAGGAGGCTCACCTGACGGTAAGTGATTACGGCCGCCCATGAGCACCTGCAACACCTGAGGGCTTACAAATGCGTTGCCGACCTTTAAGGAAAGAGTATGCTCTCTTCTTGAAGGTTTCCAGGTCGTAACGGTTTGGAAAGACTTCATTAACAATGTACTTGATGTGCTGAAGTAATAAGATAAAGAATATTCAAAAGAAAACGAGTATGTCATACATATTATAATAGATATTACCTATTTAAAAATACATGTTATTATAAAGTTGAGGCAGAGGTAGAAGAGCAGCAGGGAGGATATCATGACTGACCATATTAAAAGCAATTGAAAAGTCAAACAATAAGAAGACAGTAATGGTCCTCATTACTTACCATATTCCATGCCAGTCCTAATATCGAAAGTGAC